TATATATGGTATTGTTAAAAAAATTAAATTATTATATTCAGCGTCGTGGAATTCGCAGATCTCTAAATAAATCATAATTTATAGATGATCTTATTTTAATTAAAAGTTAAGGAAGAAACAGATAAGTTCGGATACAGCCGATGCTTATATATAATACAATCGCAATTAGTAAAGTTGAGTATTAGTAATTCAAGAGGATACAACATTTATTGGCCGACATCATTATATTGAGGTATGATTACTAAAAGAAGCTGTGGACCAATTTCTCATATCTTTAACACGTGACCACATTATGCTTAAATGTATATGTTAAGTTAATTACATAAAAGTATAATACAAATAGACAGACATATGTATATGATGTGAACTCAGTCGGAGGAACGAAAACAATTATACTGGATATATAGAGATATTTAATTGCAAACAACATGTGAAACAAATTGCGAGAGTATTAAATGCAATTTGAGACATCARCGAACTAATAGAAGCTATGTTTCAACTAAATATAATAACTGAATAATATTTTTATTCTAAAATATAAGTATATATGTATATATAACAGGAATTAATAGTAAGAAATGTAACTTAACTTATGCCACCTTCACTTTCCGTATAACCGATTTGCATTCGTCATTGCGAAATACACGATGATAGGTCGTTATTTTGCCCAAAGTGGATATGAAATCATCATCGTGCGTAATTATGATCAACATAAAATTCGATTGCATGCGCCGCTCGTCGACAATGCGATTCAATGCCTCACACAACGATAATATATTATTACGATCCAAATTGGTGGTCGGCTCATCCAGCGCTAATACACCGCAATTGCTGCTAAACGTTTCGGCCAACGCCATGCGTATAATTAACGATGCCAATACACGTTGACCGGCGCTACAACGGCCGCGCATCTCAATCTCGGARCCATTCTTCGATTGCATAACACGATAATTGTAGTTACGGCGTCGATCGGCATTCGCATTCAGATCCACCTCATCGGTTTGTATTTGTATATAGTCGATGTCATTGCCACGATAAATTAGACGCCAATACTCACGTATCAGTTTATTAATGCGTTCCATTTTTTCAGCATGAAATTGCATAAGCGACCACTCCAAACTGATGCGGCTCTCACCCAATTCCTTAATCGCTTGTTTGGCCATGCCTACTTCGTAGTTGGCACGACGATAATTCTCAAGTGARTTCTTATATTTTGGCTCATTTATTTCACCTTCCAATTTTTTAATTTGACTTTTAACTTCGCCAATTTTACCTATCAATTCACCCCTACGCTCGGTGCCTGTAATAAGTTAAAAAAAAATAATAATWATTATGTGCAAAAATAAAGGCGACGTTTGTGATTAATGTTTGTACCCTTGTCACGTTGTTTGATCAATGTATTCTTCTCCACTGATAGCTTAGGGAAATCCATTTTTCCCAATTGCTTGGCAATAGCTTGTACCCGCACGTCTATGCTCGCCTTTTTATCATGCAATATCTTCAATTCACGGTTATCCTTCAGATCACGTTCGAGCGTTTCTTGCTGCAAGCATTCCGTCTTGACTGTTTCGAGTTCATTTGAGGTTTTGGAAATTTCAGCAGACTAAAAAAAAATAGTAGAGAAATTTCTTTACAAAAATACATATATGTTGGATGTATATTAGAAAGTTTTTAAAAAGTATTTACAACAATATATTATAATTATAATATTATATATATATGTACTCATTCAAATTATAATTACTTTTATTTTTGAATTAATATTTTTTTGTTTTATAAATTAATTTTTTTTATTATTGAATAAATAATTTTATTTCTTTGATTGGTAAAAATATAATGTAAAAAACAAAATTTTGGTATTAAAAAATTGCTAATTTAAAATATTAAGGTTTAAAATATTAATTTATTTTATATGTAAGAATGTATATATTTTTTTTAATACCTTCTTTTCAATTTGAGCTTTGCATGTCTTTAAAGATTCCTTCAATTCCGCGATTTCAGCAACAAGATTTAACATTTGAAATTCGAGGACTTCGCTATTTAAACTGCAAAGAAATATTAAAAAWAATTTTAAAAAATAAGCAGTTAATTTTTGTAATAAAAAAAATATTTGGCGACTCACCGCTCTATTTCATGTTCCATTTTCTTGTAGGCATTTAATTCGGTTTGCATTTTCGCCACACGCTTGCGCGAGGCCTCTAAAAGGCGATTCTTCTCTGCTACTAAAGAATTCAGCTTTTGCTTTAATGTGGGCAATTTTGTCCTTAATAGTTTTATTTCGGAAGTTTTGCTTCCAATTAAATTTTTTAACTCTGTTTGACGCTCTTGCAGCTGCGCTAACGATTGTTGGCCTTCTTGCAGTTTTAAGCGTTCATCTTGGTAACTGTTGGTTGCAGAARCGGAGATAGTTTCTCAATATTTTGGAATTTTTTAATGCTTTTTGTACTTACGCGTTCTTCTGTTCCTGCATTTTGTTCAAAGCATTCACGATTTTCTCTAGATTTGCCTGTTTCTCCTCTAGCGTATGGCGCTCGGTATCCAGTTCTTCAGACACACCCGCTTTAATCATTTGCAACTCTTCTATATTGACATCGGACTCAAAATCTGCAGGTAGTTTTGTCTGAAATATTTTGAAGAATATATTTTAATTTCCGACTTTTTTTTTTAATTCAAAATTTTTTTTTAATTTCTTTTTA